AAAGGGGGGGGGGGGGGGGTCACATAGGATGGATGGGGTGGGCTGTCTTTTTCACCTTACCTAACATTCTAGCTTTCACAATACTTCCAGCTTGGTTCAGAGTGTTTAGCTGTGCTTACAACAGTCACCAGAAAACTAAGGCCAACACCAAAACTAATGAGACCTTGGGTATTAGAATATTAGTTAAGCACTATCAGATATTAATTTTCAACATTAGGGTAAGCCCTAATGGGTAAATGTCCCTTCCAGCCCTGCCTAGAGGTTCAGACCATCCACTCAAGGGCCTAATTATGGTTTAAGAATAATGGTGATGAGCTGGGCTTGGTGGTTCATGCTTCTAATCCTAGCACTTGGAAACTGGGCAGGTAGATCTTTGTGAATTTGAGGACAGCCTGGTCTATATAGGGAGTTCCAGAGTTCCAGGCCAGCCAAGGCTTCATAGTGAAACCCTGTCTCAAAAAAAAGAAAAAAAGAAAAAAGTAGCCTGGCATGGTGGTGTACACCTTTAATCCCAGCTCTCTGTGAGATCTAGGCCAGCTTGGTCTACATAGTAAATTTCACACTACTAGCTGAGGCTATACCGGGACTCTGTCTCAGAAAACAAAAGCAAACATGAGAGTCAGCATTCCTTATTCTTTGTTGAGCACTCTGCTAGACAGAAGCTCATCTCTTTGTTGTTGTTTTGGGGACCAAACCCAGGACCTTTAGCTCCTACTGAGCTAAACTTATAACCTCCATAGCTTCTTCCTCACCGCAGTGGGAACTCAGCCTTCTCTGAGACAAACCATAGGTGAGGCATCTGTAGAATGTGCTTAGAGGTCCCTGGAGAACTGGGGTATATGAATGTAGAGTGTGGGCCACAGACATGGCCAGCACAGAGAAAGAACTCGGGAGGGCCAACCAGGGTCCCTAGAAATAATGTGATGTATACAAGGTCATACTATTTGCTATAGGCTTGGATCCATCGCTGGCCTCTTGTTCCCCACACAGCACACTGTCATCGTATACCATGAAGCCAGAAGAAAGAGGAATGAACCAATGTGTTAGTATGAGAGTCGTTTTGGTTCTTCCATACATCTGTAGATAATGCTTTTTATTTTATTATTTTATTTTTTTATTGTGTATGAGTGTTATGCCTGCGTGTGTGTAAGTGCATCCATGTCCTGCAGTCTCCATGGAGGACAGAAGAGGGCGTTGGTTCCCCTGGAACTATTAGCTGCTATGTGGGTGCTAGGATTTGAACCCTGATCCTCTGTAGGAGCAGCCGGTGCTCTTAACTGCTGAGCCATCTCTCCAGTCCAGAAACTGTTTTTAAAGTTTTGTGAATAACCTTGTGGAGTTTTTAAAACAGTAATTTCATTGGATTTATGTTTGTTTTGAGGATCTTTTGGTCTTACTGTGTAGCCTTGGTTGACCTGGAACTCTGTATGTATTGACCTTGAATTTGCGACAGTTGTCCCTCCCAAGTGCTGGGATTATAGGCATGAGCCACCATGTCTGTTGTCAAGATTAGACATCTTTATTATCAGTATTATTTCCCATCTATGAATGCTCAGTTTCTCCCTTTTATTTATATAGGCACTTACGTCTTCCCCAATAGTTCTGTCTCAGACCTTGTTAGATTTAGATATAGTACAGGGTTTGGGTTTTTTTGTTGCTGTCGTTGTTCTTTTGGTCTTTCGGAGTCAGGCTCTCCCTGTAGCCCCAGCTAACCTGGAACTCACTATGTAGACCAGGCTGGCCTCTATCTCCCAGAGACCCACCTGCCTCTGCCTCCCTAGTGCTAGGATTAAAGAGCACTGGGATCAAAAGTGTGCACTAGCACACCAGCTTTGCATCATGAATGCTCTTGATCTTATCATTAACTTTAAAGGTACTGCTTCTTGTGTTTCACCTATTTTACATTGAGGTAAATTTGTAGCAACTCATATTCACTATTGTAGCATCCCAAGAGTAGTTTTGCTGCCTTAAAAAGTCCTTGCTCTCTCCTTCCTTTCTTTTTTGGTTTTTTTGAGACAGGCTCTCCCTGTAGCCCCAGCTAACCTGGAACTCACTATGTAGACCAGGCTGGCCTCTATCTCCCAGAGACCCACCTGCCTCTGCCTCCCTAGTGCTAGGATTAAAGAGCACTGGGATCAAAAGTGTGCACTAGCACACCAGCTTTGCATCATGAATGCTCTTGATCTTATCATTAACTTTAAAGGTACTGCTTCTTGTGTTTCACCAAGTGTGGTATTTATTGTGCAGGTTTTCAGAACACATCTTTGATCAGATTAAAGATGTTAGTTTTTATTTCTGTCACTTTGCTAAGAGTTCTTGTTGTGGAAAGGACTTTTGAAAAATATTATTTATTATTTTTATGTGTATGTGTATATTACCTGCATGTAGGTAAGTGCACCCATGTCAAGCAATGCCACAGAAGACAGAAGAAGCTGTTGGATCCCCTGGAACTGGAGTTATGGACAGTTGTTACGTGGGTGCTGGGATTCGAACCTGGGTCTTCTGCAAGAACAGCCAGTGTTCTTAACCGCTGAGCCATCTCTCTTGCTCCTGTGAAAAGGTTTATCAAATGCACAGTCTGAATTTATGATTCAGAAATGTTTCTCTCTCTCTTTCTCTCTCTCTCTCTCTCTCTCTCTCTCTCTCATTAGTCAGCATCATTTTCCTTCCTCTTTTTCCTCTATCAGATACACCCAGGGCCTCACACATGCTAGTAGGCACGTGTTCTCTCTGAGCCATGGACTCGATCCTCAGCCCCCTTGTTTTGTAGTTAGCCTTTGTTCTTATGTACTCTTGTTTCTCAGTTACTTTGGTCAATCAACATGTAATATCTGGTTTCATATTGGTTTTGATTCTGTGTTTTTCAAATACCTCCTCAATTTCTTTTTCAATGATGATCTGCTAAGTGGTAAACTTTCTCTTTTTTTTTTTGTCTTAAAAATATCTTAACCTTTATTCTTACATTGTGTATATAATTTTTAACATCTGTACATATTGTGGAATGACTAAATCAAGTAATTAACACATTTATAACCTCACATACTTTTTTTTTTGAGACAGAGTTTCCCTGTAGCCCCAGCTGGCCTGGAACTCACTATGTAGACCAGGCTGGCCTCGAACTCACAGAGATCCACCTGCCTCTGCCTCCTAAGTGCTGGGACTAAAGATGTGCACCACCACACCTGGCCTTTCTTCAGCTTTACATGAGTTCTATGGCTCCAAACTCAGGTCCTCCCTCATGTTTGCACAGCAAGTGCTTTACCCACTAAGCCATCTCCCTAGCCTTGTTTTTTCTTTTTGTTTTTGTTTTAAGAATGGGTCTCTAGCCCAGGCTAGCCTCAAACTACCTATGTAACCAAGGATGGCTTTGAACTTTTGATTCTTCTGTCTCCATCTCCCAGGTGCTGGGATTATGGGCATGTGCACTACGTCTGGATTATGCCTTGCTGGGGATCAAACCCAGGGCTTCATGCATGCTAAGCAAACATGCTAACACCTGAGTTGTATTCCCAAACCTTTTGTTGGATTCTGAATCCTAGGTTGATGGCTACTTTCTCTGCACAGTGTGGAGATGTTGTCTTGAGTCTTCTAGAATTACTGGTGAAAAATAGTTCTTTCTGGGCTGGGAGTTAGTGCATTGGTAGATCATCTGCTCGGTATACAAGAGGCCCTGGGTTTCCTCTCTTGCACAAGAGGAGGTAATGGACTCCTTCATTGTAGATAATCTGCCCTTTTTCACCCTGGATGCTTTTCCTGGTCTTTGTCTTTGGTATTAATCTGTGTCCCTCCCCTGCATATTTATTTTATTTAGATCCATCATGGTTAAGATTCAGTATGGGGGTGGGTAGAGAGATGGATCAGGGGTTAAGGGCATTAGTTGTTCTTGCAGAAGACCTGGGTTCAGTTCCCAGCACCCATAGGGCAGGTAAAAACAATCAGTAACTCCTGTTCCAGAGGATCCCATACCCTTTTCTGGCCTCCACGGGCAATGCACACACATGGTGCATTTACATGCAGGCAAACACTCATACACACACAATAAAAATAAAATGGATTCAACATGGTTCCAGATTCAGATCTTTCATTAATTGTGGAAAATATCCTGCCATTTAGTTTTTTAAATGTTGCTCTATTTTCTAGGACTGTTTCTTCTGGTGCCAGGGCTTGAACCCAGTGCCTTGCACTTACTAGGCAGGTGCTATGATACTCAGCTACTAGAACCGCTGAGTAACTAGTTTAATGTGCAGGGGCCCCCTGGGTGTCCTGTGTCCTGTGGCTCACACAGTTCTTCCATTTCTCATCCATGCTGTGGGTTCGGCCCCAACAGGTCCAGCGGACGCTCCTCCAAGCGGAGGCTTGGAGGGCAAGGCCGGCACCATTACCTCCAACGAGTGGAGTTCTCCCAACTCCCCCGAGGGGAGCAGCATCTCTGGGGGCAGCCAGGCACTGGAGAAGCCCATCGACAATGATGCAGAGGGCGTGTGGAGCCCCGACATTGAGCAGAGCTTCCAGGAGGCCTTGGCCATCTACCCACCCTGTGGCCGGCGGAAAATCATCCTATCAGATGAAGGCAAGATGTACGGTAAGGAGTCTGCCAGGGCTGGGCAACAGCCTCATGGTCCAGCCTGGGGTAAAGCTGAAGTAGGTGAATACAGTAACCTTGGAGTTCCCTCCAAATGACATTTTAAAGCTTCTGCCAGGTACATACTGCTTTCTCCTCTCCTGGGTTCTGGGTTATCTAAGGAGAAGTCTGGGAATGGGTTTGGAGGGTGGGGTCTGAGGATGAGACACTGTGTTAGTAGACATTTTTTAAATTTAAAAAGTAAAAAAAAAAATATTTTTATTTGATATGTGTGAGTGTACTGCCTGCATGTGTGTATGTGCACTTGTGTTGTGCAGTGCCTGTGGAGGTCAAAAGAGGCCATTGGATTCCCTGGAATTGGAGTTACTGATGGCTGTTAGCTGCCATGTGGGTGCTAGGAACTGAACCCAGGTCTTCTGCAAGAGCAACCAATGCTGTTAACTGTTGAGCCATCTCTCCAGCCCCTAGAGATTTTTTTTTTTTTCAAAGGGGCCTGGGGCTGGGTGTGGTGGCACACACCTTTAGTCCCAGTGCTTGGGAGGCAGAGGCAGGCAGATCTCTGTGAGTTGTGAGTTCAAGGCCAACCTGGTTTACATAGTGAGTTTCAGGCCAGCTGGAGCTACAGGGAGACCCTGTCTCAAAAAGACCAAAAAGAAAAAAATAAAAAGGTGTGTGTGTGGGGGGGGTCCTAGGTAGGATAGAACATCTCCATGGCAGACTAGGAAAGTCAATCTTTGTTTCTGTCTCTGTCTCTCTGTTTCTCTGTCTCTCTCAAACACACACATACAGACACACACACACACACACACACACACAGGACACAAGCAAATACTTGATCTCCAATTTGCAAATCCTAGCTAGAGTGATCAGAACAGGACAGTCCAGCTGGGGGTGTAGCTCAGTAGGAATTACTTGTATACCATGTGCAAAGTCCCACGTATGGCATGACACAAGGAAAGCAGCCACATGACAACAGAGCCATCAGTTGGAATGACATGGCTGGCTACCAGCCAAATATTACCAAGCATTACCAGCAGCCACCAGAAGCCAGGAAAAAGGCATGGGATTGGTTCTCCCTCTGAGCCCACAAAGAACCAACCTTGCCAACATTGTGTCAGGTCCTGAACATCGAGAATAAAGTCCGCTGCTGTTTGGGGTTCTTTGTGTTTGTGCATGTGCACGTGCGTATGCATGGGATAAAAACAAGACTCATGCATGCTAAGAATGTGCTGTCCAGGGCTAGAGAGATGGCTCAGTGGTTAAGGGCATTGACTGTTCTTCCAGAGGACCCATTCAGTTCCACGCACCCAAAAAGTGGCTAACAGCTGTCCATACCTCCAGTTCCAGGGGATCCAATACCCTCCTATGTGGTATCCCTACATAATGCAGGCAAAACACTCATACACAATACACAGAAAATTTAAAAAATAAATAAAAAACATGCTCTCCAACCCCAAGCCATTTTGGTTGTTTTCAGCCACCTGGCATGTGGTGACTTGTCAGTCACCCCAGGGAACTAATACATTCGGTCTCCATGAGCTCCTCACACAGTGTCCCTCGAACAGCTGAAAAAGCACCTGTGTTGGGGGTAAGAGGAGCACTTGAATGGAAACCCGTGGGGAGGAGGTGTCAGCTGGCCTGGGAGCCCAGGCAGGGGCCCTCTGTTGTCCTAATTTTGCTAGTTGGAGAGGACCTTCTTAGACCTTTGGGTTCTTGCCCCTCGACCACTGTTTTAAGCAGGGGGTCTTGCAGATATTTCCAGGGGGAATGGAAGCCTGACCCAGGCCTTCCAACAGCTGTTCAGTTTGGGCCTGGTTTTACTTTCCCAGACACCCTCTCCCAAAAGTCAACAGGCCCCAACTGCTGTTCCTCACTGGTTCTTGAATGTGGTATTCCACACCCTCAGTCACACAAGAAGCTGGGGTGGGCAGGATCTCCATAGAGGACGGCTGCAGCCCACACAGTCTGCATCACTTTCATAGCCTTCCTTGAAGTAGAGCTAGATGTGTGCTGGCCTCTTCACTCTACATGAGGAGCAGAAACCAGATCTGTTCCATCCTTGTGCTCTCTCTCTCTCTCTCTCTCTCTCTCTCTCTCTCTTCCCCCCTCCCTCTCTTCCTCCCTCCCTCTCTCCATCTTTCTTCCTCTCCCTCTCCCTCCTCTTCTCTTCTGAATGTCTGTCTTTATTGCTCAACTTGGCTTCAAATTCACAATCCTCCTGCCTCAGCCTCCTGAATAACTGGTATTATAGGTGCGTGCCAACATACCCGACTCCTCTTATCTCTTTATAAAGACGTCGGTCATTGGGTTTAGGGTGCACCTTAATTTAATATGACCTCATCTTAACTAATTTACTCACAAAACGTGTTTCCAAATTGAGTCACATGTTGGACTGTAGTGTAGTTCAGTTGTAGAGTGCTTTGAACTGATGCCAAGGTTATGTATTGGAATTGGGCTGGTGCTGAGGTTATGTATAAGTTTGGGGACTGCTCTTCAGCATTCTTCAGCTGACTAAACTGAAATCCATTTGTTCCCAGCCCTGGGGCCAGTAGAGCCCTGCCAGCCTCTCCTTCTGTGTATCTTTCCCTGTAGTCTTCCCTAAAGACCAAAGTGATGCTTCCCTCCTTCTGCTTCCTGGGAACACAAGATCATTTTGAGTTGGACCCTAAGTCTGTTCCTTAGATAACAGTTAAAACTGCTCCTCTCGCCAGGCGTGGTGGTGCATGCTTTTAATCCCAGCACTTGGGAGGCAGAGGCAGACGAATCTTTGTGAGTCCCAGGCCAGCATGGCCTACATAGTGAGTTCTAGGACAGCTGGGGCTACAGAGAGACCCTGTCTCAAAAAGACAAAAAACAAAAAACTGTTCCTCTCTCCCTCAGTTCTTCTCTGTGACTTTGCTCAGTCCCCACAGAGTCTATTGATTACTGCTAGGTTGGCACCCCCTTACTGCCCTGCTGTGACCACTTCCTCCTGTAGCAATAGCTCCTCTGGGGAAGCTTCTTATAGGAGAAAGCTGACCTATGTAGCACCTCTTGAGTGCTATGGGGGCAGTGCTTTCTGTAGGGTAACCCACTGTAGTTGGTGAGAGAAGCCCGGGACTGTGGGTTCTTTGGTAGAGAAAAAGGTAGATGTGAATCATGAGTTCAAGAGTGAAGGTGGGAAAAGGCGGGAGGTATGCGGGACAGGGTGAATTATTTAGTTGGGAAGCTGTGTCAGAGCCCTGCTCAGGAGGCCAGAGTGTGCACAGGGCTTTTGCTTTGTTTTGTTTTTTCTTTTCCTTTTTTGAAACAGGGTCTCCCTGTAGCCCCAGCTGGCCTGGAACTTGTTACGTAGACCAGGCTGGCCTTGAACTCACAGAGATCCACCTGCCTTGCCTTTGCCTCTCAAGTGCTAGGATTAAAGGCATGCGCTATCATGTTTGGCATATATATCTGTGTACTTTAAAGAAGAAATCAGCTGGATGTGGTGGTGCATGGCTTTAATCCTGGTACTTGGGAGACAGAGGCAGGTGGATCTCTGTGAACTGAGGCCAGCCTGGTCTACATAGCAAGTTCCAGGCCAGCTGGGGAACTTGCTATGAGACAGAGAGACCCTGTCTCACAAAGAAAAAAAATCAAAAAGAAAAAAGAAGCAAATGAGTTTGCAAGAGTCATTCAGTTGAGGGAGCTTCAGTTGTCTGAGAAGGTCCTGGGGAGAAGCCATAAGTATAGAATCAATATACAAAGCCAGACATGGTGAGCCATGCATGTAATACTAGCACTTGGGAGGTGGAGCCAGAAAGATCAGGAGTTTGAGCCTAGCCTGGTTACACAGTAAATTTGAGGCCAGCTTGGGTTGTATGAGACCCTGTCTTTTTGTTAATACAAGTGTTTTGCCTGTCTGTATGTATATGGGTATGTGTGCAGTGCCCTTGAAGACTGAAAGAGGGTGACAGGGCTGCCATGTGGGTGCTGGGGATTGAGCCCAGGTTCTCCGGAAGAACAGCAAATGCTCTTAACCCCCGAGCCACCTTTCTAGCCCAAGAACCCTGTCTTTTTAAACTTAAAAAATGTTTTTATGTGTCTAAGCATTTTGCCTGCATGTATATAAATGTACCTTGAGTGTGCAATACTTGTGGAGGCCTGAAGAGGGCAAAAGATCCTATGGAACTGGAGTTACAGAAGGCTGTTGTGTTAGCTTGTTAGCTGCCATGTGGATGCTGGGAACCAAACCAGGGTCCTGCACAAGAGTAGCCAGTGTTCTTAATTGCTGAGCCTCTCTCAAGCCCTATGACCCTGTCTTTAAAAAAATAGAAAAGAACAGCCAGGGAGATGGCTCCATGAGTAAAAGCACTTACCTGACCTGTGTTTGAGCCCTGAAATGCATGTAAAATTAAAGATAGGGTGACCTGCACCTGTTTTCTGACCTCCACATGTGTACGGTGGTGTATGTGTATGTACCCTTTCTCTATCCCCATACATAATTTTTTTAAAGAAAATAAAGCAAAACAAACAAAAACACACTAAATGTTATTTAATTGTGGACCCTGTAGTCCAGGGTCTTTGGTTGCTTACATTATAATTTAATGACATTCACACTGTTAGAGACATTACTACCCTCTGACTTTGTCATCTCAAACTGGACTCTGTACCCCTTAAACAATAGTTCCTTTTTTCAGTCTTTTTGAGACAGGGTCTCCCTCTAGCCCCAACTGGCCTGGAATTCACTATGTAGCAAGGCTGGCCTTGAATTCACAGAGGCCTGCCTCTGCCTCCTGAGTGCTGGGATTAAAGGCACGCGCCACCACGCCCAGCTAAACAATAGTTCTTTGTTCTTGTTCCTACCCTAACCTCTGGAAGCTACCATTTTCCTTTCTCTATGAGTTTGACTATTCCAGGCTCCTCATGGAAGTGGAATAATGCATTTGTGATTGACTTCACTTAGCGTAATGTCCATGTTACGGTGTGTCAGAATTTCCTTCCATTGTCTGTAGGTACCATATTTTCTTTCTTCATCTGTC